ACAAAACCTCTATAACAGCTTTAAATTAGCTGAGACGAGTTTAGGAACCTAAAAGAGGGTCAAATCAGACTTGTTTGTTGTAATTTTTAACACAAGAAATGCAAGAACTGTTAGTGCCATCCAGTTTGTGCTTGCCAACGAGGCTTAATCTAATCTGTAAAATATTCATTTGTATCCATGTGAATTTTACAGTACAAACAAGTCTGTGGAAACAGTATAGGATTTATACTTTAGCATATTCATATTTGTAACATATTCCAGTTTTTTCAAGGTCTGTGGATTATTATCTGTGTCATGCTGTCGATTACCACACACAATGAACTCCCTTAATTTGTATAAAAAAAAAATAGGAAACACCAATACAGTAATAAACGTACTATGGAAGCCTAGACATCAAGTGGGAAGCAAAGCAAAAAAAAATATTTAAAATATGGAACTGTCACACTGTATCAAAAGCATAACCATAACTTAGCATGAGACTAGTGTAATGTGCAAAGTTATAAGTAATTGCAAAGCACATTAAATGGATTCTTAAACCTCCACCTAAAGGAATTACATTGTTTCTAATAGAAAAGTAGAAATCTTAAGAGCTCAATTAACAAATTGTATTTAATAAATCATTAATGCTGTAAAAACATTATATTTTGAAACCCCACAGGCCGCTTTTCTGCTTCCATTGTAAGAGCCTCACTATAAACATTCCCCATTTATTTTTATGAACAGTACAGTACGACAAGATTTTACTAACAGTAATAGACATCACAGGACCAGATTTTCACATGGTAACATCATCCCCAGTCGCTTCTAAACCTCATGCTGTGATTGCATCAAATACACAGGTTTAAAGCCTCTGAGTGTGTAAAACTGTAAAAGCGAGCATATCAGTTCCTCTCAGTTGGGCTGCTATGGATCCCCTCACCAAGAGCAAAAAGTGCACTTCCATGTAATCCTGCTCCTGAAAGGGGCTTAACAGACTGAAACTGGTACATATTATCCTCTACAAAAAGCTGTTTGTTTTACAGATTCAAAGTTTGAACGTCTTTCTGCTGCTGTGAATAGGTCTGTGTTGCCATAGCGCTGGCGGGAGCTGAGGCTGCTACATGTTAATGCCTCATCCCTGAGTCTCCCTGGGGAAATCTGGGACACGGGACTAATGTCTTTCTTTACAGGGGTGTGGCCGCGTGTGCGCGTATATACATGTGCGAGGTGGGTTCTAGAGACGAGGGGCCATTTTAGTAACGTTCTGTTCTTTCATGGATTCGAGCCAGAAACGATACTAAATATTGAATGGCGAGATCAAGCACCATGAGCGGCCCAGAAAGCCTGTGGAGCTAATGCTTGATCACAGTAACAGACTTTTGACCATGAGGATTATCATCACAGGTTCAATGCATGCGAAACGGCTCAGATTACCCCTTTATTTGAAACCAGATATACGAGTTAATACCTCTGTAAAAGGCTGAGAGGAGAAGTTCAAGATGAATCTCTACATCAGAAAAAGAGATGAGATCATGCCATCATTCTGAGGTAGCACAGATAAGGAACTGAAAACAGCAGCTGTTCGTTTACGGTCAAACATCCACCCTAATTCAACCAAATCAAGACCTGCTTTCTATAAGACATTCTGCCACATTAGAGATCACACTGGAATCTTACAAATATTATAACATGAAGCCTGATGATGCTCATTACTGTTTTAAAAATACTCAATTGTACTGATTTGCACAATAGGATAATAAGACCAAATCTATCTGGAATCAAGCAACAAAAGTGTACTTAACTGCAGATGACTTTTGGAGATGTAACAGCATTGAGAATTGCTTGTATCGCATTACACAACAGATGAAACAGTTTCGTGTAATTACAGGAATGCCAAGAGCACCAACACTGTACAACAGATATTTCTTAGAGACTTTCATTATTAGGGACAAAGTTCTACAGCACAGCATATCACATACCTTCTGTTGTTCAGAGTCTTTTCCATTAATTCTATTTAACACAGCCAAAGAATTGAGCACTTCTCTGTATACAGACAACACAAAAGCTTCTACTGTATCCATTGACAACACTACAATTGCATTCGGTACAATAAATATACATCACATTGTCTTTTCTACACTGTAATATACTGTGCAATTCTGTTCCAGAACCAGTATTTGAAGAAATATACTTATATGAATAGGATTTTTGATTATCTAGGCTTACGTTGTCCATTTCTTTAAAAAGATGAATTACAGAATTTGTGGGTGTTATGAAAATATGCAAATTTGACTCATTATCTACACACACTTATGATGATGATGATGATTACATTTTTAAATTAAGAACAAAAATGAGTGGCAAAACCGATGGACGAGTCATCTGAACCAGCCGGAATAAACATGACTATTTGATACAGACAAATATAACACATGAAAAAAAAATAACACTTCACATTCAAAAAAATCAAAGAGCATGAAAAGCTGATGCAACGCACTCATATGCTAAAGGGCCCAAAGGAGATGTTCTCCTCTGATGTGTGTATGTATGTGTGTACTATACAAAAAATACAATCTCCCCATCAGAGTAGGAGCGACCTGAGAGCATGACTGCTGTGTCGAGGTAGGTTACTAAAAAATATATATATGTACCACAGCACTATGGGACACCAGAGGACAAAGAACATCTTGCTGGTACTTTCAACTCTCCCTCCCCACTAAAAGAAACAGCTGGTCTTGGATTGGGTGGCTGAGCACACAGTGAAAAGCAATCGAAAAGCTATTCAATAGCTGGCCAGACATATGAAGAGATGACTGGTGGTAGCTCAGGCATCATCCTCTACTCAGCATTCTGAGAGTCTAATGCCAACAGATGTTATGTGTGCGAGTTATGTGCGTATGTCTGATGCACTTTGTGCTCCCTGATCAATGTGGCACTAAAAACACGGACGAGGGGCATGGGATATAAAAAAAAAAGATGGAACTCCACATAGAAGCCATGAGAATCTCCAGTGGCTTTGGCTCCTAATGGAATGTTCACTTCCTGGAGAATTCTAGAATGCTCAGTTCTTCCATAGTTTGGTGTTCATGTCATAACATGCAGCAGAGATTCTGAACGGCCTCAACATTATCTAAGGGTGCTTGGGCTTCGTGATTGATCACAAGTCCTGTAGTTACAACCCAGGCAAAGTCCATTTCAATTCTTCACGAAATATCACAACACGTGATATGTGTACCTAATCTATATCACAATTTACTTCTATCAGCACCCATAGAAACAGTATATGTGCTTAATTCAGTAAAGAACGCTTTACATACTTGTCGATCTCCCCAGTTCTTTTGTGTTACATGACATGCAAAACACCATCCACTATCCAGCGCTGTGTACGGTGGCCTCTCTTCTTCCAGCGGTTCATCTGAGAGCAGTATTTTTTTATCCTGAAGACATTAGTAACAGTACAGTTTATCTTAAAAAGTAGGGATGCACCGATACCACTTTTTCCAGTACTCGCCCGATACCGATACTTTTATTTTTTGTACTTGCCGATACCGAGTACCGATATCGATTTTTTATTGCATTTGTAAATTTTTTAAATATTGGGTACAGAAACAAAAAAAGTATGTATAATGTTAGTTGGTTAACTTCATTTATTAAATAGATACAGTCAAACCAAAATTTATTCAGACACCTTCAACTTTTCTCACATTATCACAGTTTATTCGCTATAGTTTAGAAAATGCTAATAAAATATGACAAGAACTGTGTCAGAACAAATTCAGCTTGATAATGCTAGATAACTTTGATAGAAAGGTATGTAATGGATTACAATCAACCAAAAATTATTCAGACAGCTGTTAGTATGACAGTATTTACACAACTATCAATACTTAGTCAGGCAACCCTTAGCCTCAATGAAAGCCTGTAGTCTCCTCGGCATACTGTCATCCAGGTTCATGCAAACCTGAACTTCATTTTTTTCCCCCAGACTCGGTCTGAATAATTTTTGGTCCCAAATTTGTATCAGTTTTACTGGTAGTCCACTGTGTGAAGATTTTTTGGGTATAATTTGTCACAGTTTATTTTGCTATCCTCACTTCACACTTAATTATGCCCATTAAAATGTATTTTTTGTTACTTTGTTACTTTCACTGTTCATTTTTTCTCTCTCTATAGGGCCTTTCGCACCGCTTTAGTTCCAGAATTTCTTTTTTTTTCATCTGAAACGTGCTGCGATTTATTTTCCAAAGCCACTCATATAATGCACAAACACTCAAGCAAGCAAAACAAGCGCAACGCGTGCACGTATTCGTACTGGTGCAGAATGAGAGGGACAAGTACAGTACAGCGGCAGCCTAGCGCATTTCACACAGGCTGCTAGATTCACTTTCACCAGAAAGTCGTGTATGCCTAAGGTTGAAAATAAATTATGCTTATAGTTAATGCCCCTATAAATGGTCTTATTTTTACGGTTTAGTTTTAATCCAAATGATGCGTGCTAAGTGAGTGAACATCAAAGATCACAACAGAATTGCGCGCGCTCTCTCTCTCTCTCTCTCTCGCTCTCTCTCTCTCTCCCTACCGTTAAGTAACTTGTGCATTGTTTTACTTACTTGTTTTTGACATATCCGACCGAACTACAAACTTTCCAGTGATGTCTGTGAGAAAGGGATATTAACTCGACAAGCTTGCGAATGCACGCCGCCGCACGCTCAACCCACTCTGCGTGCTTTGCTCATCAGCTCGCACACATCAGCTATACAGGCGTTAATACTGAATTTTAAAATGATATTCATTGCATACATATACTTCGTAGACATCCTTAATCTCTAATAACCATTCTGCTGTCTGTTGTTCTGTTGTCAGTGTTTCTTTGTCTGAATACGGCACTTATCGCATGCTGTGTGGTATCGGCGTTTGGTATCGGGGCATTTTAACGAGTACGAGTACAAGAGCTCAGTATCGGTGCATCCCTATTAAAAAGTCTTCCCATTTTACTGCGTCGACTACGATTAAAATAAAAATACTCCAATACTCTGATCAGGAAACATAAAACCAAAAAAATTCTACATGAATACAAGGACACTATCAAAACATCTTTACAAGCAGAATTCATAGAACAATGTCATCTGTCAACTGGCATGAGGTACTGACATATCAAAACACAGCAATTCATTGACATAGTGAAGCCAGGATCTCACAAACAGAGGCTATGTTTCAATATGAGATAAGAACCACAACGACAATAACAACATCGTTATTTTGAGGTAGAACATTGACTTCAACATTTGGAAGTGCTATATGTTGGATATTTTTCTTGTTTTGCTTCAGCGAGCAGGGGAGCGGCAGTCCTTGAAATCTGAGGTAGAGAACCACCTTTTTCTCTTTTGACTGAACGATTGATGAGTATAAAAACAGAACAGACAGCAAGATGCAGATCTCAAAGACTTCCTACAAGACATTCATTCCTGCTGAGGTAGGTTTTTTGTTGCAAATTCTAAGGTTCACATAGCTGAGTCTAAAGTCTTTATGAAGGCTGAGACCTACTAAAAAAACATTGATATCAGTGAACAAAAAAGTCCTGAGAATAATTTGAAATCCCTGGAAGAAGGTCTTGGTCTCTGATGGATGGGCTTGTGAAATCATTGGTAGGTTAAGAGGAGGCAGCAAGTTGAAAAATAGAGCTAATATGTTTTAGTAGGGAATATACTTCTCTGTTGTGCAGAAGAAGCCAAATAAAATCAATTATAGATACTAGTGACTGGAGACTTTCAATGTATGCTGCCAGCTGTAACTGCAAGAGTGTATTTGTTCACCTACCAATGAGAAATAATAGATGTCCATCGCAGAACCTCACCTACCATGGGGCCAGAGGGACCCTCGGCATTACAGTCCAGTGATTCCCACAAAGGGAACTTAACTTACGAATAATATATTCTTTGCACGATAAAAACAGAACTGAAAAAGATGAATACTTCAGTTGACCTGAGTTGGACAGGAGTCTGTGTAGAGGATATTCTTGGCCTTCATTTCTTCATCAGTCTTCATCCTGTTAGCCCTCTGCTGGATGCTGCCGGAACTGCACCTCACACTCCTCCATCAAGCTGAAGTCATCAAGGGGAAGTGTGGACATCTGGATTTCATTCAATGGACAAGAGACCGAAGAGCTTGCATTCTGAAAATAAACACACACAAATACATGGTAAACATTACCAAACACTATAGTACTTTTCAGTTATTGTGAGGTCAAGGAATCTCATCAGAGCTCATAGGGTTATGGTTTTGCTTTGATCCCTTTCAGTACACTCAGGCAAATGCATCTCTTGCCATCTCACTTTTATATGCACTCATAAGTTGTTCTCTGAGAAGGCCCATAACCATGCAATCCACATGTCTATAAATGAATGCATTTCCTCAAGGCTTACTGTGTGGGTGGTGTCAGGTGGATGGGAGAAGTGGGATGGTCCTGAGAAGAGTCTCTCCATCTCATTGGAGTCGGTGCAGCTCTTTGCAGTGTGGGTTCCTCCATTTCTGTCTGAGCTGAACCTGTGGGGGCTGTTGAGGCCCAAAGCCCCCTGTGAGGAAGAGGAGGATTCGAGCACGACTCCAGCTGCTGGATTGCGGCCCGCCTGTCGGGTGGCCTGCACGGTTTTACACATCATCAACCTGCAAGTAAAAAACTATTTATTTAACTCAGTATCCAAAGAAACATGTTGACCTTTATTTAAAATAAGGCTTTTCTGTCACGTGAAGCCCATGCCCACTGTGAATGCATTATAAATGCACTATAAAAAGATACCAGGGGCACGCACACATAGGCAGCATTGATTCCTTACCTTCCCCTATAGCTGAACATGAGGAAAAGGACACAGAAAATGACGCAAGTGACTCCAATATGGATGCCGATGATGATGCCTGTGGTGGAGCTTTTATTCTGTTCATCTTTTACACAGTCGCAAGGGGTATTTAGCACTGCAGGAACAAAACACACACACACATATGCACAGTCAGTGTGAGTGAGTTATTATGCTTGCATGTGTGGGAGTGAACCAGTGTGTTGCATCAGGCACCTGATTTCTCCACTGCCTCCTTGAGTGACACAAAGCGCAGAGTGGCATTGCCCTCTCCATGCTGGTTAAAACCTAGAATCTTAATTTCATACACAAAAGAGGGATCTGCCAAAAGAGGTGTTAAAAGAAGTGAATACACAAAAAAAAATATCTAAGGCAAAATGATGTTATGATATAGTTTTTATTGTTAACTTGGCTATAAAGCAAAACACAGGATAAATGTTTATTATTATTAGTTATATTATTAGTTATTGTTATAGACTAAATGTTGAATAAAAATAATAACTGTTAACAAAAAACAACAACTGACATCATGATTTTTTTTTAAAATAAACATATGCATTAATTGGCCTATATCATGCAGGCTAAATGTTAAACAGCAGCATAAACAACAACAACAATAATAATAATACATTAATAATGGGTCTTGAAAAGACAAGCAGAAAATTGAATACATTCTATGTAAATAGAATTCATTAACTGTCCCATTGCATTGAATGCAACAAAAATACATAAGAACATGAGAATGCATAATAATTTTTAAATGTGTTATTTTACACAGAAATTCATTCTGCTCATATTTTTTATGAATAAAGCCCACTATGGCCAGACTCACCCAGCTGAGTGATGTTGTACTGGGTCACATTACGTGGGAAGGTAAGGGGTCCTGTGAAGATGGGGACGGGAACCTTACGGTAGTAGAGATTGAATCCTTCCTGCTGGCCCATCTTAGTGGAAGGCTCCCATGTGGCCTGAACCACTGTCGAATTAATCACCTTCGTGAACAAGGCTGGTGGTGCAGGGACTGTAGGCAATGCAAACACAAAGGTTCAGGTGTAATGCATTTCATCAGCAAGAGAAAATACAACAGGTGGGAACTTTACCCTGATGACCTTGAATGAAAGACTATGCTGTGTCAAAAACACCTCTGAGGGAAATGCTTCATTGTTAAGAAGTTTCAAGAGGGAGAATGTGTTTTTAGTTGATTACTGCCAGCACAATTAACAACTGAAAATAACTGGGAATTATACAATTATGCAATAAAAGAAGCTTGTGTTTGCATGATTGTTGAAATATGTTTTATACCTTCTCCCAGAGTGCTCTCCACAGCCGTCTCAGAGGCCTTGCTGGCTCCGCGGGATGTGTAAGCCTTCACATAGAAGCTGTAGCGGGTGGAAGGCTCCAGATCTCCGATTACCTGCTGCAGGGTCATTTTACTCACAGCCTCCTGGTACTCCATCTCCACTGGGTCTGAGAGTAAAGTGTGAAGGTTGAAAGAAGGAAAGAGAGAGACCATGAGAGCCCATCATTAAACACCAAAAAATGGTATGAGAGAGATGAACAAATGGAGAAAAATGGAGCAGGAGAGCGAAAGCATTGGCCTGAGAGCCATATGGATATTAAGGATTAACCACAACAATTGCCCAACTCTTAATGTCGACAACTCTCTTAGTCACATTTATGGCTGCAGTAAATGTTATATTTCCTCATTATTTATTCATGCCAAATTGCTGTAAGTGATCATATACATTATAAATAGCTCAGAATCCAAAACATATCTCACAGCGCTGTAGGGCAGTGAGGCTTCCAGCTGATGAGAGATGCGACAGACAGATCAGAAATCTAAATTTCAGTGGCTAATAGTCACACTAACACCACAGTAAGAGTGAGAGAGAAAAGAAAAAGCACAGCAGAGGACACTTAAGAGCACTTCAGTATAGGTCTTAGATAAGCTGTTCAGATGTATTTGCTCTAGCATAGAAAAACATCAACATGCAATTTTAAAGCTGCACAGGAGAGAGGGACTGATATCTGAATACACATCCATCCTCATGCTGAGCTTTCAGCAAAAGGCTTCAGGCTTCTCCCTTATCTTTGCCACCAAGTATGTTTAGATGTTTGATTTTATTTGGACTAAAAAAGCAATTTGTCTTTTAAAATGTCACATATTTACTTCAGGGTTTTGTGAATTCGAACTAACAAACATAGATAATGCCATTGTAGCTCAGCTGTTAATCAGACTACAATTGGCCTTGGCCTTGTGCTCTCGCTTTGAAAGACAGGGGCGATGCGTGACGCATTTCATCCTTTAAATATTAGATTGCACATTGTGTCATGTATACTCTGACAGAGAGATGAAGACTGTTGCCTGACAACGCAAAAAAAACAGCTTTAGCTCCATTATAACGGCATACATAAACGTGTCTCTTTCTGTCAAGCTGCATAGATTTAAATTTCCACCACAGCTGATGGCAACAGGAAAAAAGCAGTGACTTGCTATCGACTCCATAATGATTTCCATAATGAGAGAGCCCGGAGTGAAGATTGAATAAAATATGAATTCCATAACGTTTGTTGAAATCTACATTTACACTTAAAATGAAATAAAGTATTGATTTACTGAGGAGTGTTTTATATTCAATGCTGAAGTAGAGCTGATTTTGATTTGATTTGATGTGTGTGATTAGGTTCATAAGCAGTTGTCCTACCAGCAGTCTTGCGGATATGCAGCACATATCCAATTATGTCCTGAGTGTTTTGGGTGGGCTCGTTCCAGGACACCTGAATGGAGGTTGGAGAAAGGACTTCTGCACGTACCCCTGTGGGCACACCCGGCAAGCCGTCAGCCCACAGCACTGTCAGACGGGCACTGGCCTGTGTGGAGCCAGCACTGTTCTCTGCAATGCACTGATATATGGCCTCATCATCCTGGGTTACTCCAGAGATGGTCAGAGTACTAGGAGAAGAGAAGAGAGAGTTATCAGCTGATATTAATTGTACATGCTTATTTCCCCCATTTTTTTACATTTAGATCACTTTTATCATCATCTAACACTCACATAAAGTTAACTTTTAAAAACACTAATAGTTTAATAGCACTGTTCAATACAATCTTTAGCAAATCTAAAAATGAATATCCATTTTAATATTGTGATGCACTTTTATCATTTAAAATGTTATACACTAAAACATTTTAGTTTACACTATACACTACCGGTATACACTAAAATAATTTAGATTTAAGTGTTTTATTATATTTAGACAATTATATACACTAAAATATTTTAAAGTTTTTAGTAGGGATGCACCGATATGAACATTTTGGCCGATACCGATAACCGATAATTCTTTATTTTCTTTATTTTATAACATATGTTGGCCGATAAATCTATATCCAAATTTTTATATACTTTTTGAGAGCCTGATTACAAAAAAGGTCTCATCATTAAAACCCACATCCCAAACACTTCAACATAAGCAGCCTAGTTTGAACGGTGTACGTTTAAAAAATAATTCCACACCGGTGCGGTGACTGACTGCCACACATACTCTCACATACACATACACATACGTGCCGACTCACAACCCACACAAACTAGATAATTCCGCACTCAGCTGCAATTCCAGGTTTTCAAACAGAGATGGCGACAAAGAGGCAAAACTTACGGACTGCAGCTTTAAGTTTTAATATCAGCCATAACATAACAGCTTCTGTATCTGCCAGATTTTAAATATTGGTGCATTCCCAGCAGAAAGTCCTCCATAATCGGTCTCACCAAAGTGCACTGACATGAGTGTCTAACCTTGTTCCCAGCATAAATGATGCAACTGGCATGAATAAAGCAGAGGTAAAAAACAAACCATAAGCACCCACCATCTCTGGGTGCTCATTAACATGAAGCAAACCCAACCATCTGTCAAACTCCTCCCTCCTGAATCCTCCTCTTCACTTTCTATTCTTTCTCACTAGTCCTTATTTATCCACTCTCATTCTTTCAGAGTTTTTTTTTAACACCCTCTTCCTTTGTGCTCCCCTTCATTGCTGGGGGATATGGTGATGGTGGGAAGGGGGAGCATTATTAGTGCTGAATATATAATCAGGTGTTTTTTCTCCCTTAATCCCGAGGCCCTGAAAAAAAATTAATTTTTACCACTTAAAGGGGCAGGATATGGAAATGAGAGCCCTCGGCCTACTGCGATTCTTTCTTTCTAAGCTCCACCTTCTTTTTTTATGATATATTTGCATGCGGCTTGTGTTCTCGGACAAATGGTAGGAGTGTTATGATATTGCCGTGATATTATTCAGAGTGAATGGGAACATATAAGGGTGTTCAGTGTATGCATTCATTCATTTGAAAACCCTGCAGCCTACAAGCAAGGTTTTTTTTTTTTTTACAAGCTAGTTAGTCCTAGAGATTATGGTCCTTTCTTTTATATTCTTCATGTCTCACCACCAGCCTAAAGCAACCTGCCACATCTTTATCTCTCTTACATATACACACACCCCCACACCCGTCTGAATTGGCGATACCTGGTGTTACAATCAGAATGTTTAAAGAGGTCACTTTCACTTTTCAGCACTTACACTTCTGCTCTGTTATGGAAATTTGATATGGTAGTGCTACTTATTAGCATATTACACTCTCCCTTGGCTTAATCCCTTTTGCTTGTATTATCATCCATTGTAAATTGCTTTGGATAAAAAAAGTCTGCTAAATGAATAAATGTAAATGCTAATTAGGAAGGCAGAGAACAATATGTACTCTCCTCTGCCAAACTGCATTTCTAAACCATGTGCACCAGCTTGAAAGTCTTACATATTACATGTTAATGTATGGTGTGTTTAAACCACCTGTAAAACATGCTAACAGAGCTCAGCCGGAGGAATTCACTGATTGTTGATGTGAATGAGCAGGGCTGGTTGGCAGCTTCAGACCACTTCCACTTGTTTTGTACAACCCCCCCACACAAATAGAGCTGCCAATAAAAATCCAGCTGTTTTTGAAACTCCAAACCAGCATGACATGCCTTCACAACATACCCATAAACCTTGGGCTCTATGGACCAAACTGTCAGGCAAGTTTCATAATGTCATCCCTGCTCTCTTAGGAACAGTGCGACAAACATTAGTCTCCCTATAATCATCTAAGCAGCACAGTCAGTGTCAGTTAGGCTCACTAAGGCCCAAAACATAAATGACTTTTTTGACTCCAAGACCTCCCATTTTCCACAACAACATTCAAAGGCCCCATGACTTTTCCAGTTGTTTGTGATTCACTGGATGAGGATTAAGGATAAAATATTTTTACTAACAATTTCTACCCGATAAAATATTTAAGAGCTTGGCATAACTAGAAACATGCATATTCATTATAAAAATACTGATGGAGTTAAAGAATAAGATTTTATTTTCAGGACAATGGGAACCGTAGTCCTTCAAAGAACAGTTGTTGAGGGGGTGAATTATTAATGCTTGTTTATTTAATAGCTAATTTTAATGCTTTTTCTGTCTTATTTTAAATAATTTAAAGTCACTTTGGAAGTTTCCTGAGACCCACACAAATGTAAGCTCGATTTTACACGTTCAGAAATGTGTCGGAGCGCATTTTGAAAGCAAATAGGGTCAATCTGAATTTAGGAATTGCAACATTATAATGTACAGTATGAAATAATGGACAATCAGTTTAATACTTACAAAAGATTACAATTAACAGTATTATTCAATTATTAGTGCTTTTAAAGATTTACTTTATGTGAGCATTAAATGATGGCAAAGGTATTTTAAAATGCAAAAATAGAGCAAATGAGCATGCAGAATTAAATATCCAATACTGGCTGATACCAATAAATTTGAAAAACATTGTGCATTCCGATTTGCAACTTAGGCCTATCTGCTTACTACAAAAGTGCTTTATTGTTGTTCAGAATACTGATGTTTGAAGAGGAAAAGCACACACAGTGTGCTGGGACCAACTGCACCCTCTCTATCTGTCTATACATTCCAGCTTCTCCTCAGATTGACAGAGATCATCCTGAGACAGGAGGGCTGCTATTCAAGCGCACTGAGAGCATGTTTGCACAGTCTTCACAGAGCAGTACCTCTTGAATGGGGTGGTCACCCTTATTCACAGTCGTCTAGAGGAGAGAGAGAGATGGAAAGATGAGAAGGGGGTGGGAAAGGGGAGTGTTAGGTAGGGTAGAGGCATATGAAGCAGGGGAGTTTAGCTGTCTCGCCACTCAGTGAAAGCCTGGTGGAAATGACTGATTGCAGGAGAGGTCAGAGGTCAAGGCCAGAGCTCGCTCCATTTTGCATGGGTTGGAGAGAGGGTAATGACCAATAATGGAGTTTAGAAAGGGGCAAAAAGAGGGAAGAAATGAGTGTACTGTTCTTGTCTGCTCAGCTGGTGAACACTGTCCACATAGTTCTTTCAAAAGATAAGGATAAAAAACACCTTTTAAAAAAGTCTCTGCATGGTCATTTGCTTATGTTTTTTTTTAATTATTATTATTTAACTTAGAAGACAGTAGAGATTGGAAATATAGACGGACAGAAAAAAGGCCAGATTCAAATCTGCGTTCATGAGCATGTGCCTCACCCACTGCACCATGTCTCTAAGTACATGGTCATTTTGCATTTCAGCAATAAAAAAAACATGATGGACCAAACTTGAAACCAGGACAAAAAAGCCCCTCAGTGAATAAAACCGATATCAAACAAACTCAGCTATAATACACATTCACACATGCATGTATGTGAAATGCAGACATAATATATAACCACCTTCAAAGTCCTTCTAAGAGCTGGCCGGTGCTTTGTGATTTGACTGCGGTTCACTGTGGCATTTTGATTACTGCTGTAATAATGTTTTATGTTTATGGAGAAGGCAGTGACCCCACCCTCTGCTCCTGCAGCTACTGAACCGCATGACCTCCGCTCTGACTGCAGCACTCTAACACATGTCTGCAAAACTACAGAGAGCACACTCACGTTTGACAGTGATTTGACTGATTCAGTATTAAATAATGCTATAATATCATGAAATCCGAATCTTGTAGATTACATTATTGTGGTGTGATTTAGGGATGCACCAATATTATAATTCAAATACCGATACTGTCCAATAGTTGTTATGGCCAATAACAAATAAATAGCTGATTATAAGAAAACTAAAGCACACTAAAAATTTATTCTCTCATTCTTGTTCACAAATACTCACAACTCTGCTTTTGTTATATGGGCACAGCAACTAAATCCAACATACTCTTACAGGGAAAGTACTTTTCAAAAGCTTGTGTCCTTTAAGTTAGTGCTTAGGCCTGTCACGATAACAACTTTTTGTTGTGCGATATATTGCCCCAGAAATAATTGCGATAAGTGATATTATTGTCATTTTAAAGACCATTTTATGGTGCTAGATTTTGGCAAAAGTCATCTAAACCTTAAAATATCATTAAATAAAAAAAAATTAAACACACACACACACACACACACACACACACACACACACACACACACACACACACAGCTGATAACTGATATGGTGCTGATATGCTGTACATTGTTCAGAATTCTATATTGTATATTGAATTAGAAATACATAGCTAATATACTGTCAATTATTATTATGGATGCAACAATGTTAAATGTCATGTTATGGCCAATAACTGATGAATGGCCAATGTTATTTTTTTTACTGTCTTGTCTAAATAAATAAATAAAACACTGAAAAGTAAAATCACTTTACATTTTATAAGTTAATTTCGGCATGCCAGCAATACAGTATATAGTACAGTATGTGTATGACCAAAAGCTGACACAATGTGTACAAATGTACACATACAGTACATGAGAAAAGCAATGATTAAAAAATGAAAACAGCCTGAACTCTTGTTTCAGATACATTTAAATGTCCGTGTGTGCCTCAGTGGAGGTATGTGAGAGCATGAAAATAAACAAAAGAGATGTAAGGGCAAAAGGACAAGCTAATGAGTGTGCACATGCAAGTTTGTTAAATGCAAAATCGATCGTCTTTCTGAACCTCTTGATGGTCAGCATCTCCCTGTCTCTCTGTCTGTCTGTCTGTAGGTTGCCTGTTGGCAGGCAGAGAATCCCCCAACCCACATAGATAAACACACACAACTACCATTATATTATTGGCTGCTTAACATGCTTTTCATATTTCCACTCTGAAAAAAAATTATGTTAAGTAAAATGGATGACGTACACACAAGAGCTGACGATAAGACACCATTAAGGTGAATTGTGTAATTGTTTTACGTTACGCTCTCTTATCCCAGTTTAATGTGCAAAGCAACAATCACACAGATTTATTCAGGAGAGGTGTGTTATTACCTTTCAGATTTATGATATTCCAGTGGTGGATGATGTAACAAGCAAAAGAATCCCGCAGAGTGTCATTTTTGTGAAGAAGCAACCAGAACCATATGTACAGTAGACATGTTCCTGTAGCTTATACAGCAGTGCCAGCAACACCAAGATCGTGGGTTTAATTCCCAGGGCATGAACTTTTAAAATGAATACTTTCAATGTAAGACATGATAACGAAAATTTTAATAATCATTTGAATTCTATGAGAATAGAGACTTTCACACCACAGCTATAATGATAGTGACACAGAGAAACTATATCGTCAGAATAATTTTCAGAGTGCTTTTTTCCCCCAGCTGATGAATGACAAAAACATTGACAGCCAATCAGGATCCACCCAACTTTAAAGAGCTTTAGCATTTAAAGCGGCAGACGACAAAATGGCAGTGTACGTTTATAATAAACAGAACATTATAGTCTGTTGGTGTGTAGATGTTAATATATGTATCATTACAGTTATCATTCTTGGTGTGAACGGGACTTTAGAATCACTCACAACAACCCCTATGCAACCACACATCATCGCACAACATCATGGCAAGAGCAACACTCAAAAAAATTATTATTATTACTCATTGATAAAATTAGTTTTGCAATTTAGTTTGGTGATGCAAGAGATGCAAGCAGAAATTACACACTAAAATGTAAAATAAGATTATACAATTGGTGTGTAATCCTTTAAAATACACAGAACTGATGCTGTGTGTCGACACATATGGGCCAGCTCACTCTCTGCTCACTGCTCTACTTTATGAGTCAATTAGTTAATGGTGCTGCTCAGACGCAGAGATTTCAACTGCACTCTCTGTCTACCTGCTTCTTTTCACTCCAGTCAGACGATGACGTCCCAGCCTTCTTGTCTTTCCCAATTGATTTCTTCTAGCAATGAAAACCATCTCTCTATCTTTGCTGTTATAAATTTTAACCTCAATGAAATTGATTTTCTCTCACGTCGTAAACATGCTCTTTAACCACAACAAAATCCCAGGCAATAAAACATTTATAGCGATAGACAAGGAATCACGTTTCATTTCCAAAGACATGATCATAACCAAAACAGCATAGGTGGGTGGAATAATACCATAGATAAACAGATAGCCGAGTGTCTTTCATAGCAGACACAACACGTCCTTGATCAGAGGAATGCGGGACAAAGTGTCCTACTGACCTCGACAAGTGGCATCCTAAAATGGTTATCGTAACATTGTAGCTAGAAAAGGACAACCAGCAACTTAAAAATGTCCTTCAATGACACAAACAGCAACCACCTTCACTAAAGCCTTCTGTAAGGTGACTCCAAATGTAATAAATTACATTGTGCAAATGAGGAACTCTGGAATCGATGGACTGCAGCATATGTGACCCTGGAGCACAAAACCAGTTTTAAGTCGCTGGGGTATATTTGTAGCAATAGCCAAGAATAAATTGTATGGGTCAAAATTATCGATTTTTCTTTTATGCCAAAAATCATTAGGATATTAAACAAAGATCATGTTCCATGAAGATATTTTCTAAATTTCCTACCGTAAATATATTAAAACTTAATTTTTGATTGGTAATATGCATTGCTAAGGACTTCATTCGGATAACTTTAAAGGCAATTTTCTCAATATTTAGATTTTTTTGCACCCTCAGATTCCGATATTCAAATAGTTGTATCTCGGCCAAATATTGTCCTATCCTAACAAACCATACATCAATGGAAAGCTTATTTATTATTATTTATGTAATTACTTATTTAAGCTTATTTAGCTCAGTTTCGAAAATCGACACTTGTGACTGGTTTTGTTGACCAGGGTAAGCAAAAGTAATTTAGCTTACACTATTCCTGATTATACATTAGCCTACCGTATTCCTTATACAATATGGAAACAGATCTTGAAAAATAAATTGAAGCTGTATTAAAGCACGCCTTTTCCAGTGTTGTTATTGTAAACTAAAACTACAACTCAGGAATTGAAATAAAGCTGAAATAAAATTAAAAATAAATAATAGATGGAAAACTTTGAAAAATGAAAATTAGAAATGGTGCCTTAGCAACATACTGAAATAAGTTTGAAGATGAAGTTGACCCAGTGGTGTAGCATGTCAGCCCCGGGCCCATATGCAAAAACTTTTGTATGCCCCCACTCCCCCTCAAAAGTTATAGGTTAACGTACGCTCCAATGCTCCTTATTGATGTCTTTTCTTAGGTAAATAACATTACATGACTATTTACAAGCGGTTTTATTTCCGTATAAATGCTTGGAAATAATATTTAACGTTTTCAAGTATATTCATTATTTGTAGTGCACCAGCCACCCAATAATTGCAATAAGCATGTTTTGTTACTTTTTATATAACACAAATTGTAGCCTATAGGTTGTCAATTTTATCACGAAATACAAAAAATCAATTTGTTTTTCCGTTCTTTTCGTGTTCAGTTCAAGTGACACATGAATCAATCTTCTATTTTTCTATTAGTTCCAGCACGAGATAAACATGAATGAATATCAGAAGACATGTTGAAAAAAATCAGAACAACTTAAACGAATGTCTCGTGTAGGCTAATCGGTCGATCAATCAGTGTTTCAAAAATCGTCAATAAAACAGCCTGTGAATAGTCGTAACAGAAACGGCAACAATATAACTTTGCCAACATTGTTTTATTATTTTAATAAATCAGTCAGTTAACCGCCACAGACCTTTTTTTTGTGAGTAGGTGGAATTTTCACATTGATTAACTATATTCACGCAACATATCACAACTTTCTTAATCTCGTAATTTGACTTTATTCTAAAAACATTATGGCACTAAAACGCTGCAATATTTACAAAATTACTTAATGCAAACACACTCTTGGCACAGCTGCCCAAAACGCAAAAAGACAGAAAGAAAGAAAGGAAAAAAAAAAACTACTCACTCATTTTAGTTGTAATTAATTTAATTCTCCGGGCCTTTCTTTTGGCAAATTCATCTACAATGTCCTTGGTATTTAATTTAAGGCTTCGTGTATTCTCAATGGAAAGAATGGCTACTTTCGACAGTCTTTCGATAAAAGAGAATTAAAATGATATAAAGAGAATTAAAACGGTGCAGGTGTCGCTGAAGCTATGTGATACAATTGTTATACAGTCTTTTCAACTAGCTAGCTACCAATCTCAAACAGGTTTTTTTTTTTTTTTTGTAATTATTAAATATTATTTTATTTGGCCATGGCAATGCAGCATTTGCACGTAGGTTTAAAAAATGACACAGTTCTACAACAGCAATATAACAAATGCACACAAGAACTTACCGAGCCCTGCACATGATATGCAGACAATATATTTATTTATTTAGGCCACGAATTAAGAATTCGTTCCTTCGTTTTAATTAAATGGTCGCCCTCGACGGACCCCCAATCAGCCCGGGTCCATATGAATGTGCATACCCTGCATACGCTCACGCTACGCCCCTGAGTTGACCAAAACTAAAACTGAAATAAAAAATAAGCACATAACAAAATGACTAAAACAAATATAAATATTAATAATATAAACAGAGTACATAAATACATATTAGTACATAAATAACACTGGTCTTTTCCAGCTCACCTGTTGTTGTTCCTGAGTTTGACATGGCCATCGGGCTCTAACATTTGTCCATTTTTCAGCCAGGTGATCTGTGGGACCGGCTCACCCTGGGCCAAGCAAGTGAAGATGGCATTGGTGCCCACCGGGCGAGCAATGGACTGAGGGGGCTGCACAAACTCGGCAGGGGCTGTAGACAGATACAGAGGAAGAGAAAGCAAGAGGTAATGAGGACTCCATTATTGGCAATACAAAACAAGAGATCATTAAATAAAAAGGCTTGAAATTTCTGTAACCTCTGTATCTGTTGGAAAATGTCTCAGTATATTCACTTGGTGACTGCACTAATATTCCCATTTTCACCCAGTTCCATTTCCATATGTCACGTATATGTTAATAATGGCAATAGAAGTATTTGAAGAAGAAAACAACAGTGCACACAATGCTGAGAGTGGGAGGGAGATTGTCTCCGTGGCTTTGGCTTTATCACATTTATAATGAATGTATTGTGACAGCAGTGGGTGGTAACAAGAATGAATTTAGAGAAAGCGTCAGATTAACTCGATTAGAGTAGGGCAAAAACAGATTTCACAGGCCCAGAAGAGGAAACTGACAATCCATAAATGACACAGTGTGAAAATGAAAACGGATTAAGTGCAGCAGAACAGATGTGGGGGGCTAGGAAGGGATACTTGGACCGCGCACCTCTTTGAGCCCCCCCAGAGCCTTCTGCTGCCCCAAACCTCGACAGATACCCTCATCCTCCTCCTCCTCCTCACTCACCACGTGGCAATACTGCCAACTGACACAGAATGCAGATAATCCAATAGTCATTTACTGCTTAATTAGGAAACATTTAATCTGGGAAAATCTGAATTTGCTGACTGATTAGCAACCATTTGCTCATTTGTATCCATTTTAATTACCATCACACCTTTCATATTCATTCAGGGTGCAATGGCTTTAATTATTAAAGTCCTTTAATCGGCAAGTGTTGATCCTGATCTCAGTCTCTCTCCTTGATTTTCAGTGTTACCAGCTTCTCTCAATAAATAAATGATAAGAGGTTCTAACTGCTCTCAGAGGTCCATCCAGTGCATCTCATAGCCCTGCAAATTAGTGCTCTTTTTTTCTTCTCCATCCCCCGAGTGCAAGAGAGAGAGAGAGTGGGGGATGGGTTGAGGCAGTGAGTATTATATATATATATATATATATATATATATATATATGTGAGTGTGTGTGTGCGTGCATGTATAAAAATGTGTGTGTGTACTTGCCTTGGCAACTAACTGAAATAAACTGAAGTACTAAAATTACTAACACTAAAACTACAATAAAGCTATATAGAAATATTAAAAACTAAGAAAATCACAAAAAGCACAACAAAACTACTAGAACTAAAACTAAAAAAAAAGACTATAAAAGTATGTAAATAACACGAAAAAAAATGCTTTGCAATCTCTCTTGTAGTGTTGGTCAATATGATACTTTTTAGTGAATCAGTTTGGTTCAGAAAAAAAAAATCTCAGATTTTATAGGATCTTTTTTTTTTCATTTTATTAATTTGTTTATGTGATCTCTTTCAAAGCAAATATGTTTAGATACAGCTGTTCAACACACAGTGTTGTAGTGTAACTAAAACTGTACTTTGACTAATTTTAAAGTTATTAAAAGTTTTGGGATGTGTGTTTCGAAGAAAGAGTCACCTTGCACAACCAGGCGTCCCTGAGCAGTTCTGCGCACACGGGTTCCTGGCTTGTTGGCCGCGCAGACGTAAACGCCAGAATGCTGAACTCTAACATCAGAGATCATCAGGTTTCCTGTTCCTAGTACCTGGATACCCTCAACTCCTATTGGCCGACCATCTGAAAGAGTTGAAGGCATAGTGTTGACAAAGACCGACAAAAAGACAAGAGAGAAGAGGCCATAAAGATAATTTCAAAGTGAATTAAAGAGATCAGTAGAGGGAATTAAAAAAAGACATTGGAGAGAAGATAGAATCACATGATTACCCAGCCATAAAATCATTTCCTGCCCTAGAGGAACTAAAATACATTTAACAGGACAACAGAAGCATGTGATGAGCCTCAGAATTTAACAGCACTGGTTAAATGTGAATAATTATGGAGCACAAAGCACCATCCATCGTTTTGCCCTGGGGCGAGAAACATCTTAAGAGACATGAGTCATAGACAATGAGAGAGAAAAAACAACTCTCATATATATATATATATATATATATATATAAATAAAAATGTCCACAGATAAAGCAAGGGTCCAGGAAGGGGGGCTTTAGACTTACGATGACCTATGAACACCAGTGACACAGGATATACCATGTTACCATGGACAACTCCTATACACGTGTAGAACACACACACACACTTTCTATGAGCACTGAATCACTTCAGCTACTATAAACCATATCACTCTAGATTATCTCACTCTGTGGACTCTCTGGACACTCAGTGAGGAAAAGTGCTAATAAAAATTAACAATCCCACTAATTACATCTTTCATTCATATCACTGGCCTCTCAGCTCTCTTAATAAGTTTTGTTAAAAATGAGATTATAGACACAGTATTAGATACTGCGGCAGGGTACAGTTCACATATCACCAGATTTCATTGACTGGCATCTGTTGAGAGTAGCACAAACATTTCCACTTTTCATTCAGCAGCTGTTTGGAGTTTCTCAATCTGGTTTCACACAGTTAATGATAGATATTCATCTGTCTTTAGAGATACACGCTTTTAGCCTTTCATGAGTTAATTAACATGTTCAATGAAATATCACAGAGACACTGACATAAGTGTGTGTGTGTGTGTGTATATATGTGCTTGACAGAAACTAGTCAGGGTAGCAGCATATTCAACAAGGCTGTGTAAGAAAGAAGTAATGTACAGTGTGTTCTAGACTGTACTGTTATTTAATAATATGACAACTTTTATGCTGATGAAAAAAAAAACTAAAAAATTCAATAAAATAGCTTTGAAAATTGAATGTGATCTAGGATCTTTTTACAGGGTATGCCAATTGTAAAAACTGTATATCCCTAGCTTAGGTTGGTCAAACTGATTTTTGGAACATGATAAATGGTTTTTGCAGGTCTTTGAGGTCAAAAGGCCTTCCACTTAGCCAAACAAATTTGTCCATTTGATGGTTTCCAGCTGGAAACCAGTGCTGTGAAAAGTTTTGCCCTCTTTCAAAATCAATATCAATACTGAAATATTAGTTAGACAGTACAGTATGGGTAAAAGCTATTTATTTAAATAATATATTTAAATAACTTTATTGAATAATAACAATGAATAACAGTGAAATATTTTATTCATCACAAATACCTACAGAAATTGGAGACATTTATCCTAAAAATTGTGAAAATTATATATATATATATATACACACATACATACAGTGGTGTGAAAAAGTGTTGGCCCCCTTCCTGATTTCTTATTTTTTTTGCATGTTTGTCACACTTTAATGTTTCAGATCATCAAACAAATTTAAATATTAGTAAAAGATAACAAGTGAACAACATGCAGTTTTTAAATGAAGGTTTTTATTATTAAGGGAAAACAAAATCCAAAACTACATGGCCCTGTGTGAAAAAGTGTTTGCCCCCTAAACCTAATAACTGGTTGGGCCACCCTTAGCAGCAACAACTGCAATCAAGCGTTTGCGATAACTTGCAATGAGTCTGTTACAGCGCTGTGGTATTTCAATTTGTTTGATGATCTGAAACATTAAAGTGTGACAAACATGCAAAAAAATAAGAAATCAGGAAGGGGGCCAACACTTTTTCACACCACTGTATATGCCATCACTGGATAATCTATTACCCCTAGACAGCATGTTTATACCATGTTTTACTGGCCAGGCCTTTCACCCCATAATGTGTGTGCTTACAGGTAGGTGTGAATCAGCATGCATGCTTGGATGTATGCATTTGAGCAAAGTGAACTCAGGAAAAGCCCTGGCTCCTAAATAATATGACATAAATGCAGAATGGCATTAATCACTAACTGTTGGAGATCTATCACATTCAATACTAAGCTTAGCCATGATTTGCTCTCGTTGTAATCTAATCCAGCAAAATCCCATTGTGTTAGCAGTTAATTCCAGCAACATTGCGGAAGGTAATATCCACAATCTGGTTAGCAGCCGTTACAGGAAGAGACCATCATTTACATTCTTAATGGGAGAATCACATTAGATAATAGCTGGGAGGAAAAAAGAAATAGTTGATAACAGATAATTATACAAGTGTGGGAGTCACCGTGAAATCTTGCTTGAGAGAAAGCGGTTGGCATGGGTTGGAGAGTAAATGTAAGTAGGATATGTTAACCTATAAATAAATACATAAATATGGTGCAAATTGGTTATTTAAACACAAAGAGAAAATGGTACAGGCCTAAAGATGAGATGATACAGAAGACAAATCTTTTTCCTCATTTTAATGCAGGGACACACACACACACACACACACACACGAAGATATAAACATGTTCCAACACAAAAATTACATCACTCCACGTACAACACCACCTTAGAAGTAAAGATGAGACACTCTTTTTTTATCTCCATTAATCCTTTTTAAGATAAGACAGACAGATGTGGCAAAGAGTGTTCAATGACCAAAATTGTCAGAAACCATTTTCAAGCGTGTGGCTTCAGAACTCTGAGCACACTTAAAAATAAATGAGCTATTTTTCACACAGAACCCAATCTCACTGCACAGTATCAGCCAATTTGATCTGTGAAATCCATGTCTTAGCAGGAAGGATGACATTCCTTCACCATTCCAAACCATTTGGCTTCAGTAGATTGGAGTGTAAATTACTTTAATACAACAGCCAGCTTTTTTAAATAGGGTCATATCATCAAAATCTGAATTTTATAGATCTTTTGAAGATTGATGTACTATGCCAATGATGTACAGTAGCATTCAAAGGTTTTGGGTTGGTAAGATTTCTGTGATGTTTTTGAAAGAAGCTCTCCAAGCTGAATGTATTTAATCAAAAATACGGTAAAATACGGTACTGTATTGTACCGTACTGTACGGTACTGTACTGTATCTAAAATACAAATTATTCCTGTAATCTGAATGATTTTTTTTTTCATTTTAAAGTTGAATTTTCAGCAGCCATTACTCCAGTATTCAGTGTCACATGATTCTTCAGAAATCTTTCTAATATGTTTGATTTGGTGCTCAATTAACATTTGTTATTATTATGAATGTTGAAAACAGTTGTGGTGCTTCCTATTTTTGTAGAAAACATTATACATTTTTTTTCAAGATTCTTGGGTAAATGGAGAGTTCTTGCTGAACTTTTGACATATTTTGGTACATGGAAAAAAAAAACTATTTTCAGTCAGAAACTGCTAGTGAATTTCACAATTACAAAGAACACACACTGAATTGAACATGAAATGTTGAAGTAAAAACAAACAAAAAAACAAAAACAAAACTGAAATAGTACTTTCCTGTAAATGTACTCTAATAATCTTTGATTTATTTACATATATTTTTTACAGTGTAGCGTAGGAAAGTTCACCCATGAATAAATTCTCTTATCATTTACTCCCCACATGCCGTTCCACACCTGTATGACTTTCTTTCCTCTGCTGAACATAAAACAATATATTCTGAAGAATGTTTTTTGACCATATAATGAGTCTGTGGATTCCAAAAGAACATCATTGGATGAAAAAACAAAAATATATATTTTTCAAAATATCTTCTATGTTCCACAAAAGAAAGTAAGGCTTGCATCAAGTTCAAGACATTAATGCTTGCATATAGAACAACCGCAAGCTCAGCACTACTACTACTTCCACTCACTACTATGAATCTACATCCCCTCCAGGAGTCTGAGTGAGCGACGCCTCGTGGTACCATCACAGAGAGGCTCAAAATCACTTTCCAGAACATTCTCATTCAACATTCCTGGCTGGTGGAATGATCTTCCCACCCCTATCCGGAATGCTGAATCCCTGACAATTTTCAAGCGACAGCTGAAAACTCATCTCTTTTGACTTTACTTCATCCTAAAAAAATAAATAAAAAAAAATCGTCTTTCTCTTTATTTATTTCTTCCCTTTCTAGCTTGTACTTATTTGAACAATACCTGAAACTTGGTATTATGAGCACCTCTTTAAGAAGAATCGCTTTATGTATTCCCCAATTGTAAGTCGCTTTGGATAAAAGCATCTGCAAAATGACTAAATGTAAATGTATGTAAATGTAAAAACACAGTCTTTGCATTGCCTTCCTTCTGATCCCAACATCAGGAAAGTGTGATCAGTGGACGAACTGTCTTTTTAATGAAGTTCCAGACTGCATCAGCAAGAACTTGGCTGTTTGTTTACCGCGGATTCATTTACAAACAAGGCACAATTCGATGCAGGATTTTCAGAACGACTGAAAATAAAAGACGATGCTGTGCTGAATATATTGGATCCGACAGTAATGTCGCACCACACAAGTCAGCGGATTCGTTTACAAACAAAGCACAATTCGACGCAGGATTTCCAGAAAGATTGAAACTAATGCTTGCTGAAACTAACGATGCTGTGCCGAATATATTAGATCCAACAATAATGTGTGAGTAAGTGTTTTTATTACGTGGTCACTATTGCTTTGTCTGTTATTACGGATCGTTTGATATATACTTATGCGTTTTTAACCTAAATCACAACAGCATCTATGAAGGATGTAGGCTGTCAAACACACACAACTGTTAGCCAATCATAGCAGTGGCCGTTTACTTCCGAGTCTACAATCTGTCATACCTATTCAAACAGAGTGCTCCGATGAGGGGTCAAAACACGACAGAAAATAGCCTATTAAGCCCTGTTCACACCAAGAATGATAACTATAAAGATAACTATAAAGATAACGATATTAGCGTCCACACCAGCGAACAATATCATCTGTTCCCTTTCATGGGAACTTCGAACTGCGTCCTCTAGGGGTCGCTATGGGGAACGCCTCGTCGTGACCCGTGTCTGAAGCATAATATCTTTATCGTTATATTTATAGTTATCGTGCTTGGTGTGAACGGGCCTTTACTTCTAAATTATGATGTTTTTTCATGTAAATATTTTAATAACATTATAAGTGGACCTCAGAGAACAGTACAAAATAATAAAAAAGGCAGTTCATGACCCCTTTAACTAATATCAAAAGTGGACTTTAGGGAGAAAAATAAGATGGTAAATAATTTAGGATATGACTCTTTTATGAGAAGGTTTTCCAGACAGAGATCCATCGGCTCATTTCTTCTCATCTCTGTCCTCCATCATGTTACATTACCTTGCTGGAGAAGATTTTCCCTTTTCTCTTTTTCAGTTGATTGGGTATTTTATAGTCAGTATGTAGAGGACAGCATATTAAATTTCTCTGCAGCAAAAATCTCCTGCTGGGTTTTGCTCTGAGAACCACTCAAGGCAATTTAGAGAGCAACTTCAATGAGTCTTACCCAGTCTACTCCACGAAACGATTGGGCGAGGGTAACCCGTGGCAACACACTCCAAGATGGCAGTCTGGTGAACTGTGAGGGTGAGGTTTTCAGGGCCCACTAGGATCATGGGTTCTTTGTAAACAGATGACTGGGAGCCTTCAGGAAGAAAGAGGTAAAGCAAGTTACAGAAAGAGGTAAAGCAAGTTACAGAAAGAAAAGGATATGGAAAGACTCAAGAAATCAAAGAAGAATTTTTGAGTATACCTGAGACTGTGAGCTGCGCTCCTGTGCTGTGTTTGACTCCAGCACTGTTGTGGGCAACACAGCAGTACATCCCGCTGTCCTCAGGGCGAACACCCGTTATCTGCAGCACGCCCGTGGGCAACAGAGTATACCTGCACAGAAAAGACAAACATAGACAGGCCCACAGTGAGAGGGAGACATGTATATTTGCCAATAACACTGGGTGCATCCTTTCAAATATCATTGTGTGTAAGAGTTATTTACGGTAGTACCTGTCATCAGAGGTATCCACGGGTCGCCCATCTCTTTCCCAGCTGATGACTGGCTCAGGCAGGCCATGGATTTGGCACTGAAATCGCCCAGCACCTCCCAGCTCTGCACGAACTGAACGTGGCTGCACATGAAAATCTGCCATTGCTGAAGACAAAAGAGACAGAGAAAGACAGATTACTTTAACCCTTCATACACATATTAAGGTCATCCACGTAACTGCAATTCAAAATGCCACCATCTGAACGCTTAAAAAGAACAATATGCAAACCTTCACAGAAAGCAGATTTTCCAAAGTAATGAAGTAGGACAAAAAATGTTTTATTTGGGGCTGTCAATGTCCCACCACTTCATACCGGATATTTTCTCTTCCTAAACTTCCTAAAATAGAGTGATAGAGTACACATAGCGCTGGTCCAGACAATTAACAACTGAAGTGTCAATACAAGATCTGATGTGCTCTGATCTACTCATATATTCAGAAATACAATGATGATCTGATGCTGCAGCAAGAATGACAACACTATGCAATATGTGTGTTTGGCAGGTCTTTGAAAATTCCTGTTAAGTGCATGTTAAAGCATACAATATAAATCTCCAATGCCAATTTCATCAAGCTTAATGGACTGCTTTTGGAGAACACACTACCATTCAAAAATGTGGGGTCAGCAAAAGAAATACTTTTATTCAGAAGGATGCATTAAATTGATCAAAATGTGACAGTAAAGACATTGTTCTCTATTTAAAAAAAAATGCTGTTCCTTTGAAATTTCTATTAAGCAAAGAATCCTATAAACAATTATTATGGTTTCCACAAAAATTATTAAGCAACTGTTTTCAAACACTGATAATATTAAGAAATGTTTCTTTGCACCAAATCAAGCATATAAAAGCGATGTCTAACAGATCATGTAACATTGAAGACTGGAGTAATAGCTGATAAAAATTCAGCTTTGGAATTACAAGACTAAATGCCATTTTAAAAAATATTTAGAGAGAAAAGTTATTTTCAACCATAATAATATTTCACACTATTACTGTTTTACTGTGTATTTGATCAAATAAATGCAGCCTTGGTCAGCATAAGGGACTTCTTTCAAAAACATTTTAAAAATCTTACCAAACCCAAACTTTTGAATGACAGTATACTGTATATACTTGGCATCCCAAGTTTAAATTAGGATTTAAATACCTTGATTGAACCCCTTAGTCTGCCCTGTTATTACCTCGGTCCACTCAGTCCCTGCATCCACTTTGAGGTCATCTAATAAAATCCCATGCGTATAAAAACATGGGAACACTACATTACCCATCAGTAAAAAACTAAAAACACACTCCAACCAGCCAACAAAAAATAAATGTACAATATGATATTCTTTCACAAACGCATAGTCAGAACACAATTCTACACAGTTTACTAATTTCATAACCAATCATTAATTCTTTCACAGCTTTGGGATCTTACTTTCATAGCTCAGAGGCATGAAATCAAACAAAAGTGTGCATCTGCATCTGTTCTTGGCTACTGTGTGCCATAGAAAATGTGTGAGCATTTGAAAGAGAGCAAACAGGTGGATTGTTATTTCAGCAGTCAGATACCACTCAATAAAAGTCCATCTATCTTGCAGGAGAAGAAAAGACAGAAGCAACCAGCTACAGTACAATGACCAGGATTTGGAACCTTCCAGATCCGTATAAGGGAGTGATTTTCCAACGCCTTTCATTGGGCTGTGACTCACATAGCGTGTCCCGCAGGAGCTCATACTGAGAGAGGGCTGGAGATGAGGGGAGGAGCTGGAAACACAAACACAATTAGCGCGAGGTCTGTCTCTCCCACAGCCAACCACCGTCCTCAAGACAAGTGCTCTTATTTAAATGTTGGACGTAATTAACTTGAACCAAGCGGGACCGTTCGGAACACTCTTAGCATAACAAGAGGGCCGGGCCCCTCCTGCGTCCTCTCTCACTTACCCCTCTGTGTTCTTTTTGTGTCCTACTGATATACTTGTTCCAGCTAATCTAGCATCATCGAGCTCAGAAGGATCTCCGGGTGGTGTTTGGCAGCTTAAACTCACACAGTGGTGCTTCTGTAACTGGTCGTTTTGTTTCGTGCGAGTCAAAGGCTGCAGGCAGAAGCGAGGGGGAAAAAGCATTCTAAAAAAACCATATATATATATATATATATTCTCTCTTGGAGCTTTTCTCTCCACTGTGATTTCAATCAACTTTCCCTCAAATGTGTCTAAAACATTTCATTTATTATTTACTGTGTCTATAACTTCTCATTTTTTAACATCATCATATCTAGGTCAATGACACTCTTTTTGATGCGGACATTGCACGCTTCACAAAAAGACATCCTTCTATTTAATCACAGTTAAATAACACAGCAATCAACAAACTTGTGCTTGAAACGTGGTTTATTACTGGCCCAATTGGTCTGCCAAACCTAATCAAATTCACTAAGTTCGTGTATTACCTCAGTCAGGCCCAGTCAGCTGGTAGTACACTTGGTCAACCATCTAAACCAGCTAAAAGCAAAAAAACATGTACAAGCAACTACCATGCCACATTAAAGTCAAGTCAAAACAGAAGTAGCAGCATATAATTTCTTCCATATTGTGACATACATCAGAGTGAAACAGATTGTAAAAAGAGAAAAACTTGGTTCTATCCATTGGTTGTTGATTGGATGGAAGCAGATCGAAATGACCGGAGAAATTTGGCATCCAGAGACTGGAAGATTGAGATATAAACAGGTCAAAATATAGTTAAAAAATGTATCAACAATATAATGTTTCATATCGTTCGGTATCGATAATTATTGACATTTGTTATAACCTTTTTAAAACAAAGAGCAATAGAATTTTTTTATTTTTTATTTAACCACTGTATTTTTCAATTAACCCAATTTATTGAGACAAACAACAAAAATAAAAACAATAAAAATTAAACAAATATCTAATATCTAATGTTTTATATGCAGATTAAATACCTTATTGGCCCGAATATAAGACGACCCTGATTATAAGACGACCCCCCCTTTGTCCAGATGTACCTTTTGGAAAAAGGCTTTTTAAAAACCAAATCTTGTTTTTTCTCAGTAAAACACATTTTGTCTTCAATTATTTTCATATTGCATATTTTTCCTATTTTAATAGCTTAAACTCACACAGTGGTGCTTCTGTAACTGGTCGTTTTGTTTCGTGCGAGTCAAAGGCTGCAGGCAGAAGCGAGGGGGAAAAAGCATTCTCAGAGAAGGAAGGGAAAAAGGGCTCCCAGAAAGGCATCTTGTCAAGGCTTTCACACATATCTCATTGATTGCCTCTGCAGGAGATGTGACACACAGAAAGGAAGGCATAAATCGAATGAATTTCTCTGTATCCGTCTCCAC